TTTACACAAATTTAATGTTTAAAGTTTAACCTGTGAACTTAAGTGCTTTCCTTTTGCCACGATTCTTAGATATTCTTACCTCACCTTGATTTATCTCACTTTAGAGACCGTTCCATTTGCAAAATGACAGGTAAGCCAAAGTGAGAATTTTACCTCCCCCCTTACCGATCAAGCACTACCTTCGGAGCACACTTACAAATGAGAAATTTTGTTTAAAGTTTATATTTATTTTTTGCAAGAACAATTTTTAGTAACAATTTTGTACAACTGGTTACACCTTATGTCAAAAGGTGTCAATATTTTAATACATTACATTAATTAAATAACACCCTGTATATATTTACTTTCCCTGTTTCCATATTGGGCAAATTAATAAAAAACATGTTAAATAAAATACCGACGCTGGAAAACCCCCTCCTAAAAAATTTTAATATTTTATTCGTATTTTTTAAAGGGCCATTTAACTTTTAAGTATCATACTTAAACTGTGTTTTATTCCCAAGTTATTATTTGACACATCCACACCGCATTATGGCCTGATGCCCCATGAAATCAACTCTCTGACACAAATCGTTTTTTATGCTTTTCAAAATTTAATTCTTTCTTACGTCGCTGCATAGCGACTAACAATATTTATACAGGTTTGAATTATACGCCTTGTTTATTAATTTTTATAATGGAACCAAGTGGGGATAATTTGCCTCTGACTAATTAAGTTTTTTTGAGTTTCAGTAAAATGTCAAAGTGGAATTTACTCCCGTGTTTATATACAAAATATCAAAATATAAAAAAAACAAAATGTGAAAATATTAAAGTATCTAATATAAAAATTTAAATATGAAAATATCAAGATATAAAAGCCTCAAAATATAGAGGTATCAAAATACATATCAAAATATCTAATAATAAAATGTGAAAATATCAATACATCCAAGTATCAAAATTAAAATATTAATATATAAGTATCAAAGCATCAAAATTTTAAAATATCTAAATATAGAGATAATAAATTATCAAAATATTAAAAAATCAAAATATCCAGATATAAAATTATCAAAATATCAGAATATCAAAACATTAAAATATCATAATATCAAGATATAAAAGTATTAAAGCATCAAAATATCTAAATGTAGATATCATATTATCAAAATATTAAGATTTTAAAGCATCAAAATTATATTATAATTATAAAAATATCAAATTATCAGAATATCAAAATATCAAGATATAAAAGTATCAAAACATCAAAATATCAAAATATAGATTCCAAATTATCAAAATATTAAAATATAAAATTATCAAAATATTATGATATTTTTACATATTTTGAAATTTTGATATTGATACTTTTGATATTTTGAAATTTTGATATTTACACTTTTGATGTTTTGATATGAATACTTTGATATTTAGATATATTGAAATATTAAAAGATTAAAACATCAAGATATAAAAGTTTTAATATATCAAAATTTCAAAATATCAAATACTAAAATATATAAATATCAAAATTTCAATATCAAAATTTCAAAATATCAAAATATCCCAAAGTCCAAATCCACATTACGGGTCATGTCCAAATTACCAATAGTAACTTTTCATTCCACAATCGTTCTTATTAGATATGTTTTCTTCAATGCAAACTTCTCTACCCACCATGACGTTTAAGGCAGGTGACGATAGCTCATCCATCTACAAAAAGTGTAGCAGTTGTTCTTCTTGCATTGCAATGTACTCCTTTTAATTTGGTAATTTAAAAAACCTAGCTACATCTTTAGGTACACGAACTGTTGTATGGACTCCTACAGAACGTTGACATTTTGTATTTTTATATTAAAAAAAAAATCTTTGTTCAACAAAATCTTTTTCTGAATAATTTTTAAGGTTTTTTTTGCCCCTAATTTTTTAAAGCTGCTGTATTTGGTTGCCATTAAATTATCGTTGGAAGTTTTTTATTTGAATTTATATGAAAATTTGTCTTACTTCCTTAATATTTCACAATACCTGGTTTATTGTATAATTAAAATCGTAAATTCAATTAAATAAAAACGATTTTAGACAGTTAAAACCCACAGTTTCTAACCATTTACAACAGATTAATAACACAATAGGTCTAAGCGAAAAAACTCAAATTTTATGACATCGTAAAGTTTCCCAATTTAAATAAACAATTAATTAACATTAATTATTGTATGGTGTAACTATACTGTGGAATCTGATGCTTGCGCCTAATAAATATTCAGACAATAAATAAAATTTAAAGCGATAAGATCTTTTGAATGTCGAATGTTTGAAGGAAAAATGGGACCTAAATAAATTTGTTAAATAAGGCCTCCAAAATCCAGTACTATCTTGAATAAATAAAATGGTGTATTTGGGACTTTTGGCGATGTATTACCATATTCGGGGTTTTAACCAGTTAAAGATAACCATGTTTGTTTCTTTAAATAAAAATAATATTATCTGGGTTTCTAGATGCCAGCAGAAATGCCTACCTAAAAAGTTTAATAGAATATACCGTAAAAGTACACACAAGTTTGTAGTTTGTTAATTTTATTTTCTAAAATTTTAACATAATTTTATGTAGAAAACAAATATATTTTACCGAGTTTTGTAAATGTAATATGCAATTTTGTGAACATTTTGTTAATTTCAAAGGTTGCAGATTATTTTGCGAATTTTTAACTAATTATTTCGTTAAAAAGTACACGTGATTTCAATCAAAACATTTCCCACTGACAATACGCATCAACAAATTCAACTGACGTCAGCGTCTGCAACTTATGTTTCTGCTTACTTTATTCTAATTCTTAACGTGTTCGTAACAACTTTCCATAGTGTTTATAAAATATTACCAAAAATCTGTTATTATTGTAATTCGGATTCCTTATACCTATTTAACGAGTGTGCGAAGTGCGAAGTATCCGAAAAAAGATTAAGGGATACAGTGAAGTGGGATAAAGTTACGAAATACATCAGTAAGTGTTGTAGTTGTACTGATAATTATATTGTACAAAATTTCTTTAAAATTTGATGATTTCAGAATGGAGTGTTATTTAATTGTGTGTATGTAATTTTTGTGTTCATGAAAATGCATTTATGTAGGTGTGTTAATTTTTTTGTTTAGGAAATTGATTAATAAAGCCACATTTCTTATTAAAATTCTTTTCATTAAAGTTTCCAATTTCCAAATACTTTTGTGAAAGGTTTGTAAAATTGAATTTGAAATTGAAAGATGTATGGTTGAATTATTGACATAGGATTTGTTAATAAATCTACAAAATGTTGTATATAATTACAAACTACTTATTCAATTGGTTAACAGATTACAGTTGGTTGGGTTGGGTAAAAAGTTATGTGGAGTTTTGCTACTTTAGTTTAAAACCTAAAAAATGTTTTGTGATTTTTGAGTTTATTAGGTCCAAATACACTGTTATAAAAATCAGATTTGTTAAAATGAGTTTGTAGTTTGTTAATTTTATTTTGTAAAATTTTAAAATAATTTTTTTTTGAAAACAAGGGTTTGTAATTATTTTAACAAAGGAAAATATTTTACCGAAAGTTTTGTAAAGGTAATATGCATTTTGTTAATTTTAAAGGTTACAGATTATTTTGTTAATGCTTAACAAATTATTTCGTTAAGAAAGTACCTACCTGATTTCAGGCAGTCAATCAAAACATTTCTCATTTAGAATACGCATTAACAAGTTTAACTAACTGTATGGTTCGGAACACAAACAAAATTATGATTTATCGTCCTTATATAGGTTTTGGAATCATTCACTGCGGTGAGACGAAAGTAAGTGGTGCCATCTATCGTCTTTTGACATGTTCTTTATTTTATGTTTAAGGCGGTAGATGGCACCACTTACTTTCGCCTCACCGCAGTGAATGATTTCAAAACCTTTATAAGGACGAGAAATCATAATTTCGTTTGTGTTCCGCACCATACAGCAACTCGGTACTGATGTTCCAATAAAGGGAAACAGCTGTTTATCGATGCTGGTGAGGAACACGAACGAAATTAAAGAAAAGCGGAGACGAAATAATTACATCAGTACGTGTTGTGGTAGTACTGATAAATTATATTGTACCAAATATCTTTATAATTTGATGATTTCAGAATTATGTTATTTAATTGTGGATGTTTTTTTTTTGAGTTCATTTATGTAGGTATGTGTTAATTTTTTTGTTTAGGAAATTGACTAAAAAAGCAACATTTCTTATCAAAATTATTTTCATTTAACTTCCGGGAGTTACAAAAAATACTTTTGTTACTGGGTCTACAAAAAGGTTTGTAAAAATACAAACTTACAAGAATTATAGTTAAAATATTGACATCTAGTTAACATTTGGTTAAAATTAACAAATATTTTTTTACTGTGTACATTGTTAATACCAGTGTTATATTTCAGATTTTTCATTGAAAACAAATTTTTAAACATTGAAATCATAGCTTGGTAAACAGCCGGTACGGCACGGGACGCTCTTTCTTGGCTGCTCGGTCATCATCAATGATTTATTCTTACGGTTATTACGTTGCACAACATCAGTTCCAACAAACAGACAAACGTTATTTATAACGGCCATCGTTATTAAAAGTACTCGCTTGTAATATATAACGACGGTCTCTGAACGAGCTTTGCGAGCAGAGCTTTACCAGGCTTTGGAATTTTCCGAATAAAAAAATCCACAGTAAGTATTGAGAATGAACATAAATTTTCTCTGGAAAATAAGTTAAAAATGTTTCTGTTTAATCATAACGCTATTTACTTTTAACACTGTTTCATCGTGCGCCTAAAACTTTTTTCCACATTGTAAACAATACAATGTGGCTAAAATACACCCTTAAGGGTGTAAATTATGGTAAAATTATAGTAATTTCAGAAATAAATTTTAAACAAAAAAGTTAAATATTGAAACACAGGTAAAATAAAAAATATAGTTTATTTATCAATGTATACAAAATAAAAAGAATTTACAAAATATTTACAACCGTAAAACTTAACTATTTATGTCACATTTTTTATAACCTTTACAAAAAAAAGAGTTAAAACAAGAGATCTTATCGTGTAAATAAAAAATTCTTTAGGAATATCACCAAATATCAAGAGTACAAATCGACAATAATTATTGCATTACAGATAGAATTTAAACAAATTAAAAAAAACACATCCTAGATTTGGTAAAGTAGGGTAATAATACGCAGTTAAGTACGCCATATTAACCAACTTTACTCTATTGTATCAAAGACGATTTTCCAAAATCTATGGACGTAGTTTTTTCTACTTCGTATTTTTGCTTATAATAGCATCTATACTAAAACTCGGGTTGGGCAGAGTCGTACTCAGCCCACCACTGCCACTATTACTGCTACTTGCAGAGCCCAAGTTGTGCGTCAAACTGTGCCTCCTCAAATCGCAATTCCTTCGAAATACTTTACCGCACGCCGAGCAGTTATAGGGTTTTATGTCCGTGTGCGTCAAAAGATGCGTTTTCAGGTTGGAACGTTGGTTGAAGGATCGACTGCATACCGGGCACTTATGGGGCGACTCCTCCATGTGCAGTATTTTGTGGACGGCCAAAGTACGGCTCTGGCAGAACCCTTTACCGCACTCCGTGCATTTAAAGGGTTTCTCTTTACTGTGTATGTATCTGAAATTGAAGAAAATAAATTTTTAGTTAATGTTTTTTGATTTTAAAGTACTGCGCGGATTTGTCCCGCCATTTTAAAGTTTATCCAACTGTGCGCGTTTGTCCTTCCTACAGGTAACTGTAATTTGTACTTTGGAAGCCACGCACTACGTGGCGAATTCAAAATGCACTGTTGGGAAATACTTCTACCAATCATCTAACCTAATCTAATATGGTTTTAGGTGCAGATATTTATATGGATTTAGCACATAATTTTGCTGTAAGAGAGTTGTGTAACAAAATGTACTGGTAATGTGTTAAAGAAGCAACTAACCCCATTGTAAAGATTTGCATTGTTTGTGTAAAACAAGAAGTAAACAAATTGTAGCAATAATGCATTTAGTCTGTGATGAAGAACCCAACAAATTTGTGTATTTTTATTATAATTATATTAAACGTTTTTTTAAATCCCAGTATATTTAGTTTTTAATTTTAACACTTAAACGTGCAACAAATAATAACATGTGTTTTTTATTCCTATTATGTAGAATAGTGTATTGAATCATTGCTAGTTCGTAAAAATGTAAAGTAAGTTTTAAAAAACTACAAACTTGATAATATTATTTATAGTCTAAAAAGTTCTTATAAAAAGTTTTTTCATAGAATAAATGTTTATAAAAGTATACAAAAATATATAAAAAAATTAACGATTTACTAAAAATACAGTTAAATATGTAATACACCAAAAATAATTAATTCAATACGAGCAGGTAGTAAATTCTAAATATAGACATGATTTTAAATAAATCCTAAGGCAGATGTTGACTATTTCCGAATGCCTCCGAACAATTAAAATGGAGCATTCAAATGGACATTACTTTTTTCCGTAGCTGTACGTCGTTGTGGTAAACTTATTCGCAAGTTGTGTGAAATATGTGTGATTGTTGATTCAAGGTTATTATCTTGTCATACCAAAACAACGTCCCTCTGGCCGGTGCACCGCGGTGTACTATATAAAAATATAATTGAAGTTGAATCTTAGTTGAGTGCCTAAATATGTTTCTAGGTTTTAGTGTAGGTAGCGGTCAGAACTATTGACCCTAGCTGTAAACAAGCCAAAATTGACGGAAAAATAATGTGTGTTGTGTGCAAAAAGAGCAATGGATCAGTTTGTGACAGATTTATTGAAAGAATGGGGTTTTGAAAATCGTATCGAAGAATTTAAAAGTTAGTTAATGTCATATTATATACCTTACTTTTCATAAAAAACAATTAATAAAATAGGGACACTTGAAAAAGGTTCATTCCACTCAAAAATGTATGAACAAAAAAAATTAAAAATTCCCTTCATCATTAGAAAAAAGTTAAGGTTTTTTTTGGACAACCCTATATAATTAAATAAAACACCAGATATATGTGTACATTTTTGAATAGAGCAATATAAGGGCGTTCCAAAACACCTATATGTCTAATATTTATTTTTTTATTCGTCACTGAAATAGGTATTTATTTTAAAGCTGTAAGGCATGTATGCTGCATTTTTAGCTCATTTTTTAGTTCACTTTTAAGACTAATATGTTGATTTTTATACCAGTCAGTAATAAAACTAGTATTATTTTACAGTGCTATTGACTTTTTATTATCCCCTCATCCAACCCCCCAAAAATATATCGACGATCTGCTACAATTTGTATGAACAAATTTATTTGGTTGCATTAAAAAATGCAAATTAAAACCCGAATAACAATCTCTTAAAGACATTTAGAATCGGAATTCTCCAGGCAAATAAACGGGTTAGGATGAACTAAGTCCCAATTAGCAGAAACACATGCTCCACACGCTAAATGGTTAATTTGTAAGGCAATAACATGGGACCACGCTAATTATTTACATAATTTATTTCGTTGTTAAAGTGCTACAAGCTCGCTATAATTAAGACGGACCTTCCTATCGCCGAGCTGTATCTCCGATTTATGGCTCAAGATATGAAGGAATTCCTTCTTTAGCACGTTTAGTCGGTCCCTATACCAAATTTATGTATTTCATATTTTGCATTAGTTTTTAACAGAAATAAGGTCACATTTGAAGATTGCAACATCTATGCTATAACGACGACAATTCCAATAAAGTTATGTGTATAATAACGTGTGCGTTCCAACCATCAAGGTTTTTATTATTTGGATTTCATGTCATGTCGACTAGATTTACAGGCCTTTAACTTATCAGAACGCTGACGCGACAAATCACAAGGTTCAGGGCTAGATTTATCTTTCAACATATTAACAGACTCGTGTAGAGAGGGTTAAAAAAGTAATAACGATATTCGTTATTATTTCTGTCTGCGTTGGTGAAAATGTGGTATGTGTTTCCAAAATGACGAGCATTTGGAGGCATCAAGTGAAAGAAATGACGATGAAAACAAGTTTAACAGTACACTGAAGTAAAAAACAAAATTTCCCATAAAACCTAGTTAATGAATCTTCTTTGCTTTGAGCAGAGCGTTTGAAACGTCGCACCTTAATGTGAGAATTTAACAGTTTGTTCTTTTTGGTGGAGGCGAGACGGGCTCGTCGTGCGTCTTATTGTTTTCCGAGCAATTAAAACCATCAATTAACACAATCGTAAAGTGTCCATGAGCATTATAAAACCTTAATTAATCATTTGCAGGCGGAAAATTAACACCTTATAAGAATAAAGGTATTTATTACCATTGTTCCAACGCGTTGCAACGGTCCCATTGTAGTTATTGTAAATATTGGACGCTTTTCATTAGTTTTTAATCATAATTAATATTTTGTTATGTTGGCACAGCCATTGTTTACATCTGATAAAAAAATCATTAGGATCTGTCAAAGAGTTTTTGAGTTATTCTTATTTAAGGTACCATGAAAGAAACAGTGGCACCGTATTCTCCGGATATGGCACCCTGTTCCCAAAGATGAAAGAAGCTGAAATACTACCAACTTTGGCATATGGAAAGGGTTTTGACATCAAATTGGAAGTCTTGCCTCTATTTGAGGCCTGTCAGAGCAAAGTCAACAATCTCCCTAAAACTGAGTAAATTGAGATAATTGATTTTGGTATTTTAAATTCTAGATTTGTAATTTTTTTTATATATTATATTGAAATATTGTTGTTGTTAGTCTAGTAGCCAACTGCAAGGTCTCCAGGATGCATAGTATCTATAGGTGAAATCTATAATTATAAATTGGAGATTGCTAACTTTGATATGAATTGCTGGAGATTGCTCATTTTGTTGTAAACGTTTAAGGACATTTAGAAAAATAAACAAAAAAATAATTATATTTTTCTTCCTTTAATGGTTATAAAATTTAACTCTACAATCAATGTGGGAAAATTCTGAACTGGACCACATAAATCTGGAGTTTCTTCGAAATCTGGGACCAGGTTGCCTCGTGCAAAATTTTTTTTATATTACAACAACTCATCATCTCCTTCCCACTTTGCCCCGTAATGTTTTACTTGCAATGTTTTGACATTATCAGCCTTTTCTTGCTTTACCTTTTCGTCTTATTATGGTATAATAGCACAAATTAAACTAGATAACTTTTTTTATAATTCTTAAAACAATAAAACGTAGATTTACCTATTTTAAATATATTTTTTAAGTGCAATTTACTGCAATAGAACTTAACAGTATGTACCAGTAAAAAAACACAAAATTAAATCTCTAAAATACGTTATAACATCAAATGTTAGGATGTCAGGTGACACAAATTACTAATTTCTAATGGTGGAATTGGAGATTGTATACTTTGCTGCAAATCTATCAGTGGAGATTGTCGACTTTGCACAAAATGTCATTTTTAAAATTGGATTTTAGGCAGGATTTAGCTCCTTTTGCAGCACATAAACTTTATCATCTTATAGAAAATTAGTTGAAGTATAGTCTCCGCCAAAAATCTAATTTTTGACCAAAAGTGGAGATTGTCGGTTTTGCTATGAGAGGCCTCATTTTGACTTGTAGGTTTTTAGTCTCTGTACATTTAAATACCCTGTACTTTATACGATGAAAATTATAATTGGACATCAATATTAACAACACCTTTGAGCATGTAAGCAATAACTTATCATCTTGTATATGATTATATCTTCATCTGAATAAGCTATTGGACGTTGTGTTACTTTCCTTTCCATATCGTACTTACATACTGGTAATAGAAGAGTAAAAGGTTAGAATAAAGATTACTTCATCAACTAAATAAGTATTTGGCTATCTACATTTACTTTCTAAGCTGTGTTAGTTATATGAATTTATAATAATATACCGGTATATGAGGTATAATAATATAGTAGTTTTTATTGATGGAATGGTCATGTAAAATTAATTATATTTCTATACACACTTTCCTATCAATGCTCGAAATGTGTAGATTTTTAAACAAACAATACACACCATAATAATTATTATTTATAATTATAATTATTTATAACGTCTCACATAGCATAATATAAAGACCGAGTAAAGTACCAGGTACCATGGTACGGGCATATTGAAGCAGTACAAGGATCAAGGCAAGCCAGGTACAGGTACCAAAGATGTGATAAGAAAAGGAGTAAATCGCTAACCCAATTAAAAGACGAGAAATCCCTCCCACAAATTTATTATAATGGGCACCACATTTATTATTAATTTTATGAACAGTGACATACCTTGTATATTCTTATAATAACTATTTTACGGATTTAACCCACTCATTATCAAATAGAAAAACTGCGAATTCGCCTTCAAAAGCTCCAAGAAGAGGAACGTCTTCTTCGAAGGTTTGGATCTTTATCGGGGCAATAAAATTCACATCTTTGTTTGCAGACGGGACAGCGTGATTTATAGCGGCGTTTTCTAATACTTTGGCTTGGCGTGTGTGGGCACTTACGGAAGATTAGCTGCTCGAGGTCATTTAATAATCCATAGAGACTCTGCTGACTAGGCAACGAAGCGTTCAACCTTTTCATCTCGAGAGACGAGATCTCTTCACTTCTCATCTTTGCACTAAACCGTAATGCACAGAAATTTATGAAGCAAGTCTTTCTTTGGGTTAGTCAAAGGTTAAGTTCACCAAATTTACATATCAGAAGTGTTAGTGTTTTTATTTCTGGTACTATCGAAACTGTTGTGCTATATCATCATTAGATTAAACTTTCTTGAGTAACTTTTTTAAAACTTAACATTTGTCTTCTACAAGATTACTTTGGTTTGATGGTAAAAGGTGCAAATGATTTTCAATCATATTTTATAAAATTTATAGCGATCATGATCACGATAGAGGTCCTTATTTTGGAAATAGCTCGGTATCGAATTTTTGTACCTGTCGTTTGGAAAACACGGATCGTTATCTCGATGTTACCATATACTTTTCGGGGATGGTATCGATGAACAAGAAACACAAAACCTACATTTGTTTTATCGCTCCTCGTGTTTCATCTGTTTATTTTTTTATCTCACCACATAAATCTCAGCGTACACTAACGGATACGTTATATCGGAGGTGTGATGGTTGAATTGTAATAAAATTTATTAATACACTCAGTATGGTATTGTGGAAACACTTAACGTTGTTATAAATTACCGAGTTGACTTAGAACAATCAGGTGTGTTTTAATTTATGTGTTATTATGTCGACAATTTTTACTTTCGGATACAAAATGGAAATGCAATAAGGAGATCGAATTCTTTGCAATTAAACAAAAAAGACTTTAAGGATTCGTCACTTTGCATGGTGGTTATATAGCTGGCCACCAAGAACCTGCGATTTAAAGATCCTAGACTTTTTTATAAATAAACCATGAACAACTTAAAAAACAATATTAGAACAATTATTGATGAAATTCAATCAAGGAAGCTTTTAACACAACCACCCATTAAACAAAGGCATGCAGCAACAACACATTTATAGTTTTATAAATTCGTCGTCTCGGAAAGAAATCCAGGTGTGAATGAAGTTTAATAAACACCCGTGGTGCCCCCGTATTTTATGGCCCGAAATAAATTTGAATTTAAATAAGGCGTCGTCGACATATTTCGACAGCGGGGACTGTAAACAAGCAGAAAAAATTTCAAACATTAAAAATAAGTTATATCACCAAGTGGCAGGTATTTTTATTTATCACCAACCTTATGTAGCTGTGGTTTATTTGGAACTTATCAATAACCTAATTTCTCATCATCATTAGCTTTGTTAGCTTGTCTATAATACAAGACAAACAAATGGGGAACATCTAATTACAGCTTTTAAATATCGATAGATTAATAACGCAAACATATATATAAATGATGGTCTGGAGTTCAAAGCAGATGTTGGGAATGATAAGCTAAGCTAGAGTCGAATCGTATAAAACTAATCACATACTTATTAACTTATTACATCATTACAACAATTGAAGGTTAAACGAAGGCATGAGAGAGTATTTAATTAAGAAAAGGCTTCGCCTTAATAGCGCAGTTTGTATCGGTAATTTATTAATGCCAGTATACTGCATCGCTAGGTCATCTGTACTAGGTACTCTCGGGAAATATCATCTTTCTGACTTTCTAAGTGTTAGAGGTGCACACACTGGTTGCTAACAGAGAACGCTTTTGTACATGCCTTTACTTTTGATCGTAAATAAGGATTTTTAATTTAGTGAGCTTAGGAATGTTGCGAATACCATTATCTGCTAGTACAGTGATGTTGTCAGCACGGATTTGGAATGTTGTTCCTTGACAAGACTTTTAATTATAATTAATCGTATTTATTGATAAGCAAAATTTGTTTAAAATGCATGTTTGAAAATTGGTTGAAAGTTAATCTTGCTTCTATTCGATAATCGTACTTAAAACGTGATGTGGAAGTATCGATTCCTTCAAGAAGCAGTTATATGCAATAAGCAAAAGCTTTTAAAGACCAACACGCTTGCCTAAAGCATGCAGATTTAAAATGTACCTTTAATCGGAACTCATCGACGTGAATTTGATGGAATCTTGAGAAATAAACTAATGGCAGATCAGTCACAGTCAGATTTACTGTTATCTAAGATCCATGTTAAAGCAAATTATAATTACCTATGATCTCTGAGATGGTCCTGCCTCCTGAACGCCTTCCCACATATATCACAAGCGTAGGGTCGTTCGTCGGTGTGAGTTCTTTCGTGTATCAACAAGTTATAACTTTTCGTGAACTGTCTATTGCAAAACTTGCAAATGAATTGCTTCTTCGGCCGCACGGCGCCTTTTTGTTTGACCGCTGCAGACGACACTGGCGTGCTCGAGGTGGATGACGATGACGACGATACTGTGGACGATGACGATTGGTAGATGGAGTTCATGATGAGGCTCGGGTACGATGTGTCCACTGGGGAGGATGACAGGGGGAACGACGTGAGCGATTCTTCTTCGTTGTCGTTGTCGAGGAGAGCGAGATTTTCTTCGATTTTTTCTGCCAAATCAACATCTTCAGTTAGGCTTGTGTTGGGTTCTTCTATTGTGGAATCTTCCGTGGTGATTTTAGCAGTGTTCGCTGCCAATTTAAGTATGTCAACTTTACCGGACGTATTGTTGTTGATATTAACGTTGGCACTAACAGAAGACAGTCGCTGTAAAGTCAGGTACGACTCTAAGGCTTGAAAATTCAAAGCTACAGCTGCAGCACTGTTTATCGGCAGCAAAGCAGCTTGCTGCAGTGAATTCATCATGGCATTTTGCAGCGACAACGCGACGTTTTGTATGGACCTTTGCAGGAAATTCTCCTGCAACATAGCGGTCGCCAAATTTAACTGAGAAGCACTCAAATCCGACTTGTCCTGCTGCTGATTGGCCGCCTTGTCATTTAACATCGACTGTTCAGTGGAAGTCTGCATTTTTCAACCGTAATATCACCTGCTGTCATAAATGTCACAATCTCGCATTTTCACTTGTTTTTCACGCGTGCACTGTCAGTGTTTTGTTTCTTGGATGCGCGCGTACTTTGTTTAGCACCTGACGAGAGTCGACTAAGAGTCCGAGCGATGCGAGATTGTTTCTTACCTGGGCGCCATCTGGTTGGCCGTGTCCGAGCCCGCCAAGACTGCCAGAGACGGATTTTTAATATTTTTTATTTATATTTGTTGTTATATCTTCTATTTTTTGCCTAAAAATTAATATTTATTGAGTTTTGACCTGACTTTTGACCACATTTTTATTATTGCTCCTTTCCTTTCTTATCTTATGTAATTTATTTGTTGGAACATCCGACACGTTTTGGTTTGATTTTATCAACAAATTTAAATATTTATTAGCATATTTCAATTCGGTTTTTACAAATATTGAAAATACAAATAACATTTTTGCTTAACCTGTGGGCGTTTGATTTAAGCAAATTAGCGTCAATTTTAATGAATTTTATGTTAAAAGACTGGTTTTTAATAAGAAACGGTTCGTATTATTATGCATAATAACAATTTGATATAAAATTTATAAATTTAAATTTATATGGACATAAATAAAATTTATATGACAACTTAATTAAATGGTGCTGATTTGTTAAAGTTATTTTAAGTTAAATTTATTGTTGTAATTATATACGAGGGAAAAAATGCAATTGTTTCGTGTATATAAAGGTTAGTAAAATCTAAACAATTTTAACAGTAATCTTTTAAAGTTAGTTAGTATTTTTGTTGTTGTTTGATTTGCAACAGCAGACACCAGTACAAAATGGAAATCAGCGCCACTAGTGGTAAAAAAAAAACAATTAATTTGCCAGATTCTGTCAATTTCCACCATTGAGTTCGTACTCTTTTTGTAGGCTTTATTGTATTGAAGGATTATTCTTGTCAAGAGTAAAATCAGGAATTTCGACAATTTTGGAATCTTATAATTATTTTTCGCCCCCTGTATAACAATGATGAACAATTTTATAGAAGAGTGAAAAGAATTAATTAAGTCTGAAAGGCGTTATGCTCTTTTTGATAGTTTTAGTGTGTTTACTGACAGGTGTTGTATACCTGAGTGACCTTAAGGGTTGCATAATCCTGTCAGGCTGGTTTTGAGTAACGTATATAAAATTTTAAAATCGTCATCTATGAAATTTAATCTTTTGTTTTCTTGATGATATTTTGAGATGTACTTACATGTAGGTACTTAGATGTACTATGTTCCACACCTCAAAGTCCCACCACGTGACCACGTACGGAACTCAGTCTTTTGAAAATTTGGCATTTAAGGCTTTTTAGGTTATGTATCTGTCAAAGTATAGTCAACGAAAGAAATAATATTATGTTTAGGCGTTAAAAATGTATAAATCTTTATAACATTACAATAACAATGTATGGTTTAAGAATTTAAGAATATAAATACTGCATTTAATGAAATTCTAAAGTGTATGGTGCCAAATAAGTAATATTTTTATGCATTTGGTCCAAACATCTGGTTTTCTTCATAAAATAATTTTAACTAAACAGCATTTATTAAAAAAAATCTAGCTTCTCTATTATGGAATAAGAATATCTGTTTTAAAGGTAGGTTAATATATTATAACAAAAATATCATCTAATTTTGTAATTTTAAGGTTAGAAAAATTTATTTTGACCAAAATAAAAGTATTTTGGATTATTTAAAAGACTGTATAATATAGCATTTAAAAATGTCAATGTCAATGTCAATTGTCAATATAAATAGTTCAAAAGCTTCGACTGAACTTGATCTACATCGAAAAATCATTATAACTTTAAAAATTTTAATAAATCACATGTCATGGGAGTATGAAATATTTTCACATTGCAAGTTTCTCTAAAAATTGTTTGTTTTCTTATAATCTAACTTAAATTAGGTATGCCGAGAGGTATGCACAAGTTTTGTCATTAGAAGTATAAAAGCTTCAATTTAATTTGAACATTTATTTATTCAACATATATACATATATTTATTTATGACCATATTAACACACTCTTTCAAATATTCCACTTATTTATTTTGGTCTAAATAGATTTTCCTAACCTTAAAATACAAAATTAGATGATATTTTTTGTTCTAATACATTAACCTACCTTTGATACAGATATTCTTATTTCATAATAGAGAAGTTAGATTTTTTTTAATAAATGATGTTTAGTTAAAACTATTTTATGGAGAAATGTAGACCCAATGCACAAAAACATCACTTATATTGCACCTTATACTTTGGAATTTCATTAAATGCAGTATTTATATTCCTAAATTTTTAAACCAACCATTGTTATTGTGATACTATAAAGATTTTTTAACTTTTAACGCTTAAACATAAGCGGTAACACTATAAATATTATTTCTTTCATTGACTATACTTTGACAGATACATAACCTGAAAAGCCTTGAATGTCAAATTTTCAAAAGACTGCGTTCCGTACGTGACCACGTGGTGGGACTTTGAGGTGTGGAGCATAGTAAATACATGGCCATAGGGAATTCTTTAAATTGCTAGAATACTTAGTATGCATTGTTGACATTATAATACTTAAAATATTTGGTCGACTGGAACTTCATTGTGACACTGCTGTCAATTTTTGTTCCTGTTATTTATTATTTTAAGTAATGATTTCCTCCTATGATTATGCCCAAATGATGATTTTTATGGGGAGTATGGGTGCAATGCTAGGGAGGCATCACGTTTTTTCCAGCGCTTTCCCAATTGTCCCTTGAACTGTAAAGTTGTTCTGCGTTGAAGTTTTTGGGTCTGGGGTACAGAACTAGTTGTTTAATTTTTACCTGGAAATTTTTTATTTTTAAATTTGCCGCCCGATTTTTCTCTGTAGCGCGAGTTCTGAGACACATTGTATAAACAAATCGAGTTTAAAACTATTAGAAGTCTTGTTTATGATTAAGATTACCTAATTACCACATGGTCCGGTCGGTATCGAAACCATTACCTCCATTAAACAGATGAATAGTGCAGTTACCAGTACTCAGACTGACTAATTATACTTGTGTGTAGAGTACAGAGAACGTTCTTGATACGAAACGGACTGATATACAGGGTGGGGCGAAATAAACGTTATTGTTTGTTTGAAAGAAAGAAATTACAGTTACAGTTCTGTGGATAAAAGGCATAAGGGGATAAGTCAAAAAAAGCAATTTTTCGGTAGAGACTTAAACGTGTTCGCTTTAATTCAGGAAATATATTTATGATTAGCGAGTATACCCTTTTGCTAGCATATGACATGTGCTGGCAAAAGGGTATACCCGCTAACCATAAATGTATTTCCTAAATTAATGCGAACACGTTTAAGGCACTGCTAAAAAATTCATATTTTTGACTTATCCCCTTATGCCTTTTGCCCACAGAGTTCTAAAGCATTCGTTTCGCGCCATCCTGTAGTCACATGAACGTGTTGGTCTATCTGGGTATTTGTTGCCTCAGCAAGACGATACAAATCTGCGGCGAGGATAATTAATTTGCAGACACGATCTCGTAGGTATCGACAATGTTGCCTTGATGGCCCATATCTATCACTTTGAATAGTGCCCGAGTCGAGTTGTGCGTTTCCTGAACGAGCTTTTACCATTTTTTTTAATGACTTCAAGCAACAACTGTTGGTTTGAGGGTGCACCCTTGGAAAACGTATGTCTTAAATTATTTTGTACTTGAAATCTATTTTTCAAACGTCACTGTCTTTGTCAATAGTACTTCACATCATCTGGTCTTTTCCTTCCATAATTTATTAATGAATATTAATACTAGTAAAACAAACACTTGTTAATTTTTTACCTGTATTTCGCTCTAGGACACAAGTTAATTTAGTGTTTGAGTCCTCATGCCAAAAATACATTATGTTAATAAGTTTAGAAAACTTTTAATTTGTTGTGTGTTTTAAAAGAAGGCAAATTATCGCATTGTATAATTTATCAATCAGTGGTATTAGAAAGTATAGCCCGAAGTTTATCAAATTTAAAAAAAAAAATTGACTTCACTACTAATGCAACATTTCTGATGACATATCGTATACGAGGTGTGTTCAGAAAATATCGGAAATTTTCGTTTTTTGAAACAAATATTTATTTATTCGTCTACATTAATGTTGTCGCCTTTAAAATAGTCCCCATTGGATATTATGCACATGTGCCAGCTCTTCTTCCAATACTCGAAACACTTCTAAAACTCGATCTTTGGGATAGCCTTTAGTACTTTTAGCGATGCTCTTTTAATGTCATCTATGCTTGCAAAACGACGGCCCTTTAAGGTTCTCTTTATTTTTGGGAATAGGAAAAAGTCAGACAGAGGCATGTCTGGCGAATATGGAAGCTGGGCCATCATTACAGTATTGTTTATGGCCAAACATTTTCTTCAAAATTTAACAATTTTAGAACAAATTTTGCTGCCACGCGTTTCATACCCAAAAAATTCGAAAAAATTTCATGGGATGAGCCAATCGATATACCAACATCATCAGCGACTTCTCTGATGGTTTATAGCCATTTCTTCCACTTTTCCATGTTTTTATCGGTTGTTAATGTGCTTGTGCGTTCGGGGCGTTCGTCATCTTCAACGCCTTCACGGCCATCTTGGAAACTCTTATACCACTTGTAAACTCTTGTTTTACTTATAGCAGACTCACTATAGGCCTTTGTTAACATTTCAAAGAATTTATTTCATTTTTTAAGCAAAATTGGATACAAATTCTTTGATCCATTTCTTTTAACGAACGAAAAATCGCCAAGCTCATAAAACACGTCTAACCTTAGCGGCTGCCACAGACAAAGTAAACAATGAAAACAGCTAAAGTTTTTATCATACTTCGGGGGCATGTATACCAACATAATAAAGAAAATTTTATGACAACTGGACCCTCCGAACCCGCGAAATTCCCGTTATTTTCTGAACACACCTCGTATATATAGTTTCTTGTCGGAAACTCGGGGTAAGGTCTGGAGATCGGGCTGGCCACTCAACTGCACCTCTTACGTGGAGCTTCATCTCGCTGAAACCAGAGTCTATTAACTGGTAAGTTTGGATCGTCTTAGTTTGGAAACTGAACTGCTAAA